TGTCTTGCAGTGGTCCTGGGTCCTGTACATCAAAATATATAAGGCATTTGTTTGGTGGTTTTGTCCCTGTGACAATTTTGAAACCAGACTTTATTGTTTTCTGGTGCCAGATCTGAATTGTTACTCTATGTATGAAATACATGGATATGGATATCAGAATGGTTTTGTGTTTGTTTTTTTTTGAGGTTTTGTTTTTTTTTTTTTTTCATCTCCATGTATTTTCAATTTGCTACAGCAATAAAACTAAAGTGAATTTAAATAACTAGGAATTATCAAGATTTAAATTTAATACTGTGTTTAAAATTTCTGCTTTATTAGCTGTTTTATTACCAACTTTTCTTTTCATATGTTTTCTCTTCTTTAAATACATGGAAGTACTAATTGTGCAGCACTAAGATGTTTTCAATTCATCTTGATTGAACATCTACATTATAGGTACCACAGAAACAAGCATGTCTACATGATCCAAGTAATAAGCCTCAACTCGATTTGTGATAAAGCCAAACATAAGGATTGCCAAACACCAAATTAAACTAACAGTACTCTTGTGTTATTTTTTTCCAGTATTTTCAGTAAAAGCATTCTTCTGTAGTATTTTCAATCTCAACATAATACTTTTATGTTAAAGATTGTGATGTGAGCATAAAAGTGGAAGTCAAAAGGCAAATTTATTTGGTCAGTATGTTCTATTTATTCAAATTCTATGAAATGCAGGAATAATAATATAACTGTGAATGCTAATGATAATATACAATATCATTGGTAGCATGCAGAGGAAAGCTGTAAAAGGAGAGAATTCTGAAAGTGCTATTTGTGCACAGAGGGGCTGCTTGGATGCTCTCCTGGATTTCAGCCTGCTCTAGGTGAGGTCATGCTGTAGCTAAAGTAATTAACAAGGTCACTCTCACCTGCTCAGTATAAATCTGGAATAAGTCTGTTGATGTGTGGAACTAGAATGACTGGGAAAACCTGGTTTGCAGTACTGCCCATGGCAGAAATTGTTCCAGGTTATTCTGCAAGTAGATTTCAAAACTTGTTAGCTTTGGGAGAATCCTTGGCCATTTCAGCCCACTGTACTGAGTGTATCTTCTGGGTGGTGTTCCTAACAGTGGTGTAAAAATAATCAAACAACCAGGGTTAGATCCCTACTTTCCCTTGCAGTTAAGGTTTATCTTTGGAACTGTTTGGGTATCAGAGCAAAGAAAAACCCCTTAAAAGACAAAAGTGCATGTTAAAGAGTTGATTCAGTTCTTAAAAAATTTCAATGGAAGCAACAGAAGGTACTTTTTAGTGGCATGTGTAATTACATTTTCCTAACCATATGGGATGAACTCCCATATGCTTTTACTTGGAGAGACAGTGCATCCATTGAAAGTATCAAGTGTCTCACTAGATAAGAATATCAGCATAGTTCATAAAATTTAAGATTTTAATTTTCTTTTTCAGGAAGTTCAAAATTTATAATCTTAGAGTATACAACTGTATGAGTACATGAAGACAGGCTGAGAAAGTTGGGGCTGTTCAGCCTGGAGGAGAGAAGGCTGCGTGGAGATCTCATAGCAGTCTTCCATATCTGAAGGGGGCCTATAGGGATGTTGGGGAGGGACTCTTCATTAGGGACTGTAGTGATAGAACAAGGGGTAACGGGTTAAAACTTAAACAGGGGAAGTTTAGATTGGATATAAGGAGGAAATTCTTTCCTGTTAGGGTGGTGAGGCACTGGAATGGGTTGCCCAGGGAGGTTGTGAATGCTCCATCCCTGGCAGTGTTCAAGATCAGGTTGGACGAGGCCTTGGGTGATACACTTTATTGTGAGGTGTCCCTGCCCATGGCAGGAGGGTTGGAACTAGGTGATCTTAAGGTCCTTTCCAACCCTAACTATTCTATGATTCTATGAAGATAAAAAAGCAGCATTATTGCTGCCATCAGCTCATTGTACAAATTTCCCATCTCTCTCTGAGTAGTTACCTTTCATTCCCACCTTATCAGAAAGCACAGTTAGTTAATTTTTTTTCTGGCTATGATACATGTTAAGTTTGTCCTTGAAGATTGCTTTTGTCACTTGTAACTCTTCAGAAATATTGACATGGTAAAGGATGTAGGCATTTATTTTTCACTGGTTTTGAAAGGCCATAAGAACCTGCAAAGTTATTTTATTTACCTTGTTATTATAGAAAAGGTTTTCTATGACTCAGAAATATTAACCTACTCCATTAGATTGAACCATACAACAACTGTGATTAGTGTGATAATGAAAAGTATAGTTACTGAGTAACAAACATTTTGAAGTCTTGGTGCCCACAGGTTGCCCAGAGAAGCTGTGGCTGTCCTATCTCTGGCAGTGTTCAAGTCCAGGTTGGGCGGGGCTTTGAGCAACCTGGTCTAGTTGAAGATGTACCTACTCATGGCAGGGGAGTTGGAACTATATGAGCTTTAAGATCCTTTCAAACCAAAACTATTCTACAATGTTTTCTTTCTTAATCACGAACCCAGAAGACCACATGAGCATTGGACCTGCATATGCATGTAGAGGAAATACCTTTTAAAAGGGCCAAAGCAGTAACCACTTTTATCATCAGGAGTGGAAGATACATACTATATTGGACATTGTCTCTGAAATTATTTCCTAAATGTAGTTTCCCTGTCTTGATTGCTTTCTGTATGATGTGAAAAGCAATGCAGATTTGTTGGTTAGGAAGAAAAAATAAACTTCCTGCTGTTCTAAGTTTGCAAATAGAGTCTTTTATTTTCTTTTTATACTTACAGAAAAAAAAAGCAACTGATGCCAGACTTTGAAGATAGTTAGCATGTTAAATCATATGATAGAATCACTAAATCATGGTGTGCCACTACAGAGGTTTTTGGTGACAGCAATTTGAAAATTGGAATACGTTGTTAAATTGATGGCTGGAATCTGTCAATTTGCGGAATCATGAAAAAAAGGGCAAAGCTGCACCCAATAAAAAGAAACTATTTGGAGTTATAGGAGCTGTCAGATGTTTACATATTTATGATGGAAATTAATGGTTGCAAACTACAGGAGTGTCACATAGATGGAGCAAAAGAATAGCTGATACATTTGCTTTCAGAAGGAGAAGGGAGAAGATACATGAAAAGACATGCTGTAGCACATGGGAGAGCCCAAATTTAGCAATTCCCACATCGACATAGCCCAGGCTGTCACGTTCCATAGGGGAAAAAAAAAAAATACACCTCCTGAAAGTCCCAGCAACTGAACTAGACACTTAGAGATCAAATGAAAAGGGTTAGAAAGCTTAATTTGTGGACTAACAATAGGTATTTGACAGTTCATGCTATAAAATGTTTAAGCAGTAATTTGCTTTGGAAAAAGCAGGTATGAATTGGGAGCTAAAGCTTTAAGAAAATCAGGAAATCTCATGTAGGTCTGCTGTAGTAGTCGAACTATTACTTAGAAATGCACATGTTCTTCCAGAGCATTGGGACCTGTAACTATCTGTGTTCATTGGTGTCTGAATACATACAGTCTCCCTCCCAGACTTCACAATAGTGTGATGTGTGATAAGTGGAGAGAGCCATGTCTCTCTGCATGCAGTTGCCTTCAAATTGCCATGCGGCAACCATGGGCTGGGCAGCATCTCCATGCCTGCGAGAAGCAAAAGGGGAGCAGGGCTCCTCTTTGCCTTGTGCCTCTCCTCTGCAGAGCACGAGCCTGTAGCCTGTGCCAAGCCATGGCTGCTCAACCTCCTATGGATCTTTGTGACTGCCCCAGAAGCTCTGTCTGACCAGCCATGAAAGCTGCAAAACCACCTAGCATTTCCTCCTTCAATCTCCATTTCATTCTTCATATGTGCCGTAGAGCCTGTAGTACTGCTGTGAAAGGGGAAGAACCCTGGCCATTATCAGTCTCCTTGCAGATCCACTAACGCATTAAGGCTTTTATTCCCCTCTGAGACACATGGCATATGTGGTCTTCTCATTTATGGGGAATTTGAGTGGAGAGCAGAGAGAGACTGTTTGGCACTAAAGTGTGTTGATTTATTAAGAGAAAGCATTAATTTCTGTTCCAAATAAAGTTTCAGAAAATTGCCTTTAAAGATGAATGAAGCATGCCCACACCAAGAAGAGTATAACATGTCTGCTATTTAGTTTTGGTTTTTAAAATATATTAATCAGCAGTTTAACAAAATTATGGACAGAATGTGTCTGATGTGAAAACAAATTCAGTAAACAATTACACTTCCAGTTTCTATTGCCAGAAAAGTCTTTTGTTTTGTAAGTAGCATCACAAGCAGCCAACCTCTCCCTCTCACTCCCGCAGAATAAAACATCAAGCTGGAGATGTAGACTATTGTACAAGAGGGTTAGGTAAATTGTACAGGGGGGTTGTACAAGGTGGTATCGCTTAAGTTACATAGCTTGCTGAACAGAGATGTCACTCAGCAAATACCTCTCGTGCCTCATCAGGCAGTACCAGAACATAACCTCCTAATAAGCAAAATGGTTACTTAAGTTTCAGCAAAAACCATTTGGACATAGACCAGACTCATACAGGCTCCTAAAGAGCATGCGTGAGGACCAAGGGGGAAAAGTTCAGGCCTGAGGAAGACTCGTTTACTTCATCTGAAGACCCCTGCCCATGACCACCAGGAGGCACTACACATGTGCAAAGGACCTTTGAGCTCATTATAATACGAAGCAGGGATAGGACATAAATATGCATAGACGTATTATGTAACCTAATGCATATGTAGTACTTTAGAAGATAAATGTAGAGGAAATGACACTGAGGTGCGCATGCCTTTGGAGGAGTAATCCCCCACGCGTCTTCAGCTGAATAAACGCATACCTACTTTACAACTTTAATGAGTTGTGGATTCTATTCCGACATCAATTTGGCGAGCCAGCCAGGAGAACGTCTGTTTGGCTGCAGGATCAGCGGAGGGGTGGACATCCTAGGCGCCCCAGGCCACTTGCTTGGGGGAGCTCTGCTCCTCTTCCGCTCACTGCAGGGACAGACAATGACCTGCGCAGGCAGCAGAAAAATGGTATGCTTAAACTTTGTTGATAATTTTGGAGGGTCTGTAAGTTGTACGCTTGACCTGGGGCTGCTGGTAAGGTGTGCAGAGACGTCTGGTGCACAGCGTAGTTCCCTTGGTAGGTAGGGCTTGCAAGCACGAAAGGATTCACCAACCCATAGAGTGGCCGCTAGCAACCCTGGGAGTGGGTCGGGTGAACCCAGGGATTCGTATGCTGATAGAGCAGCAGTTTGTATTGGATGAATCCTAAGAGCTCGTGGGCTAAGAGAGCCTGCCGATAGAGCGGCCAAACATCAATCGAGCTCCAGGTTTCACTGAAGGGTGCAAGAATCCATCTGGTGGTAAGCGGAACCCGGTATGAATGTGTGGGATCCCTAATGTAAGTGGTTTGTGTGACTGAGACGTGGCATAGCTACGAAGCGAATGCAGAGTCCCAATCCGCAGTTCTGTATTCTCCACAAGGGGAATGGCTGGAAACGGATGAAGTGTTTATGTTGTCTGTCCTGTCTGGTCATATATGTTATAACTATAAGCTGCTAAAAAGCTGGGGGGGGAGGTAAATTACCCTTCCTTCAGTGAATAATACTGTGAAAAATACTCACTGATTCAAGGGAAGAAGGGGTCTCATTTCTTGTCTTGCAAAATCCATCTGTAGTCATTAGGCAGCTTAAGAATTGGGGAAGGGTACAATTACCCCTCCCACAGTGGTTAGCTTTACGACAGGTAGCAGATCCTGAATTTTTGGTGCAACCAAAGAGCAGACCCTTTGATACTCAAGAGGGATCCCGTGTGTACCCTGTTGAAATTTTACTCTGTACTATAAGTGGCATTTTTGCATGGATAATATGGCAGTGTCCACTGTGTGAGTTTTACAGTCATTCACAGGAGCAGTGGATTTGGAGATACGGTTTTGGGCGTAGTTGGAAATACTGGGGAACTCACCACACTCACCCTGAGGGATATCATTTGGGACCCAAAATATACGGCTTGGTTTGTGGAAATAGTCACAAAGTCCCAAGAGCTTTCTGGGAAGTAAGGGCAGATCACTGGATTAGAATTTGCAGGAGATATCAAAGGAAGTTAAGGGGAAGAAATATCTAAAGTGAAAATGGGGGCAGGTCAGAGCAAGAAAATTTTGAAAAAGAGCCCTTTAGGGTGTATTTTGGCACATTAGAAGGAGATCATAGGACCCAGGGGCATGGAAAATAAGAGGACCTTAATTAAATATTGCAATCAATGGTGGCCTCTTTGTAAGTGAGAAGATGGAGTAAAGTGGCCACTTAACGTGACACTGGGTTATAACACTATGTTATAACTAATGCTGTTTCTGAGGAAAGAAGGGAAATGGGATGAAGTATCTTATGCGGATATGTTTTTCACCCTCCAAAACCACCCGGAGTGCCAGAGAGCTTGTGGAATGATACCTCCCCAGGATCCCCTTGTTTTGGCCATGGAAAAAGAGACAAGAGACAGCCAAATTAAGCCCAAACGCTGCTGTTCCTCTTGTGATATTGGTCAGTGTTGTACCAGACAGGAAAAGGTCCAGCACCATGATACAGAGCAAGAATTAATAGATGTCTTTAAGCCTCCACCAAAGAGACGGGAAAGCACAGGGTCAGAAAGTTCAGAAACTCCCTCAGAAAGTCCAGTTTCCTCACGAGCATGACATAAACAAGTTTTACAGGCACCCCTTCGGGAAGCAGTGGGACCGGAACGAAATACCATGTTAATAAAGGTGCCCTTCACAACATCAGATCTAGAAGCCTGGAAAAAGGTAGCCAGAGATTATCGTAATGATCCAGTTAATGTTACAAAATATTTACAGTTTTTAGTGAGGCAGCACAATCCAGACTGGAACGATATACAGCTACTATTAGAGGCAATGACAGAAACTGAAAAACAATTAATTTTAAAAACAGCAAGTGATCTGGCTGAAGACTATTACGAGACTAGACAACAGGATGTTAAAGAATTTTTCCCTCTATAGGACCCTAAATGGGACCCTAACCAATCGGCTGAGCGAGAAAGGTTACAGGCATATCAGGAGCGGATCATTAAAGGGGTGGAACGAGCCATCCCAAAGAGCATAAACTGGTCAGCATTATATGCTGTAAAACAGGGCCCTTCGGTGTCACCTTCCAAGTTCTTAGATCAGCTCAGAGATGCAATGTGCCCACACACACCACTAGATCCTAGCTCAGAAATAGGAATACAACAACTTGTGTCGTTGTTTCTGGGTCAGTCAACTGGGGATATTAGAAGAAAGCTGCAGAAACTACACCCAACAGAGGGAAGAAACTTAGAAGTGTTGCTGGATGAAGTTTGGAGCGTGTTCAGTAATCAGGAAGAAGGTTATAAACAAGGAATGCGAAGATTAGTAGCAGTTGTGGAAGAAGGAAGAAATAGAAGAACTGAGACAGAAACCACAGCTAGGAAGACAACAATGTGCCTTATGCCGAAAATTTGGACACTGGAAAAATGAATGCCCAAGAAACAGGGAAAATCAAAATCACCAGCATAAACCAGCCAAGAAGCGGGTAGTGGCACATGTAGATGATTGACAGGGACTGGGGGAATCCTCCCTAGTGGATCCACTGGTTATAATAAAGCTAGGGGATGAAAAAGAAGACATAGAATTTTTAATAGACACTGGGGCAACATATTCAGTTCTGAATAAGGCATTGATACCTGTAGGAGGAGACTACATTACTGTAAGAGGGGCAACTGGCCAAAGTGAAAAAGCATACTTTTGTAAGCCACTAAAGTATCAATTGGGAAAGCAATGGGGCATTCATGAATTTTTATGTATGCCCAATGCTCCAAAGGCTCTCCTGGGGAGAGATTTATTGGAACAATTAGGGGCCACTATTACCTTCAAAGGAGGCGAGATCGCCTTGAAAGTAAATGATCAGCAGTACATAGAAATGTTAAGCCTAGAACTGATCACACACCAGGCAGAAGAAAAAGTCAGGGAAGATACATTAGATCAAGTATTCCCGGGAGTATGGTCCTCAAACGGAAGAGCCAAAAATGCACCCCCGATACAAATTAAGCTCAAGGAGGGAAAACAACCAGTTAGGATTAAACAATACCCTTTAAAAAAGGAAGATAGGGAAGGATTTTGTCCGATAATTGAAAACTTTCTACAGTTAGGATTACTAAAAGAGTGCCAATCCGATTTTAATACCCCTATCTTACCAGTCCGTAAGCCTGACGGATCATATCGGGTGGTACAGGACTTGAGAGCTGTTAACAAAATCACTGAGGATCTTTACCCGGTGGTAGCGAATCCATACAACTTACTAACTTGCTTAACTCCCGAGCTAACTTGGTTTGCTGTTTTAGACCTTAAGGACGCCTTCTCTTGCCTCCCTCTCCATGAAACCAGCCAGAAAATTTTTGCATTCGAATGGGAAAACCCCAAGAGTGGGAGCAAAACCCAGCTCACATGGACGGTGTTGCCTCAGGGATTTAAGAACAGTCCCACCCTGTTTGGAGAACAACTTGCCAAAGACTTAGAGTCTTGGGAAGCTCCACTGGATGAAGGAAGACTACTGCAGTATGTGGATGACATCCTAATTGCCACCCGGACAGAAGAAGGTTGTGTGGCTTGGACGGTAAGCCTCTTAAATTTTTTGGGACTCCAGGGATATAGGGTGTCTAAGAAAAAGGCTCAAATAGTAAGACAGAAAGTAATCTACCTGGGCTATGAGGTTAGCGCTGGACAACGAACTCTGGGACAGGAGCACAAAGAAGCAATATGTCAAACCCCAAAACCTCAAACAATAAAAGAACGACGAACTTTTCTGGGCATGACAGGGTGGTGCAGATTGTGGATTTATAACTATGGACTGCTTGTAAAGCCTCTATATGCACTCATTACTAATGGAAACAGAAATCTCCAGTGGACAAGGGAAGCTACGCAGGCCTCCCGCCAGATAAGTGTGCTCTTATGTCAGCTCTGGCTTTAGGGCTCCCAGACGTAAGTAAACCATTCTTTCTGTTCTCCCATGAGAAACAGGGGATTGCTCTGGGGATACTAGCACAGAATCTGGGTCCATACCGACGAGCAGTTGCTTATTTCTCCAAGCAATTAGACACAAGGGATGGCCTGGTTGTCTTAGAGCTGTCGCAGCAGTCGTGCTAATTATCCAGAAAGCACACAAATTCACTTTGGGCCAGAAAATGACAGTGCTAGTATCTCACACAGTGTCTGCCGTACTGGAAGTGAAAGGTGGGCACTGGCTTTCTCCTCAGAGATTCCTGAAATATCAAGCCATCATGGTAGAGCAAGATGATGTTGAGATAGTGGTAACTAACATTGTCAATCCAGCCTCTTTCCTCAGTGGAAATGAAGGAGAACCTGTACATCGTGACTGCCTGGAAACCATTGAGGCCACCTATTCTTGCCGTCCAGATTTGAAGGATACTCCTTTGGATAGCCCAGAAACTTGGTTTACTGACAGGAGCAGCTATGTCATCAGCGGAAAGCGTTATGCTGGATATGCAGTTACTACCTGCAGAGGTAACAGAATCTGGACCTTTGCCTATAAACACAGAAAGCGGAACTGATTGCCCTGACCAGAGCCCTGGAATTGGCAAAAGGAAAGACCATAAACATCTACACAGACTCAAAATATGCATTCGGAGTCGTGCAGGTGCATGGCGCTATTTGGAAAGAGAGAGGACTGTTAAATTCACAAGGAAAAAATGTTAAACATGCACAGGAGGTATTAAGATTATTGGAAGTGGTCCAACTACCTGAGAAGGTAGCGATTATGCACACTAAGGCACACCAGAAGGTGAGCTCTGAATTAGAAGAGGGAAATGAGCTGGCAGACAGAGAGGCAAAAGAAGCGGCAAAAGGTGAGGTACCAACTGAAGGAGCACTAGTCCCTGATGGGAAGGTTTCCCTAGAAGGTAAGCCAAATTATAATAAGGCGGATCAAAAACTGATTGCAGATCAAAATGGAATATTCAATGAAGAAGGGTGGGCTAGCACACCACAAGGAAGAATAATTGTTCCCTCATCAGTGTTATGGTCCTTAGTAAAGAATGAACATCAAAAACCACACTGGGGAGCAGACACCTTACATAAATATTTAATAAGCAAGATTGTGGCCAGAAAATTATATGCCACTATTCAACAGGTAACTCGCCACTGTGATCTTTGCCTTCAGACAAATCCCAAAATTACTCCCAAGCTCAAAATGGGTCAAATTTGAAAGGGTAATGGACCAGGACAACAATGGCAGATCGATTTCACAGAACTGCTGAGGAAAGGGGGGTATAGACATTTGTTAGTATTGACAGACACCTTTTCAAGTTGGCCAGAAGCCTTTCCAACTAGGAGTGCAAAGGCACAAGAAGTGACCAAAGCACTATTACAAGAAATAATACCACGCTTTGGAGTTCCAGCCACTACATCTTCAGACAGAGGACCACATTTTATTTCAAATGTGGTACAATAAATTAACAAATATTTAGGTATTGATTGGCAACTTCATACTCCCTACCACCCTCAGTCAAGTGGTCAGGTGGAGAAAATGAATCATCTAATCAAACAACAAATTGTGAAATTGGGCCAAGAAGCCAGGCTACCTTGCCCCCAGGCCCTTCCATTGGCCCTATTGAGAATTCGAACTAAACCAAGAGCACAAGAGGGATTGAGTCCCTTCGAAATTCTATATGGAAGACCATATGGGGTTCAACAGGGAATGTCTCCCCAAGCGAGAGAAGAGACTATGAACACCTATATAACAGAGTTAGGGAAGCAGCTCAGGAGAATTGAAAAGCATGTGGCTGGAACTCGAAGCAGGGGATTGGATAGCCCAGTACATAATATACAGCCTGGAGATTATGTGTTTATAAAATCTTTCAAACCTATAGGAAAAGAGGATCTTGAACCAAGGTGGAAAGGACCATTCCAAGTATTACTCACTACCTTCACAGCTAGCTAGATTAAGGAGCAGAACGCCTGGATTCATCACACTCGAGTCAAAAAGGCTCCAAAGGCTCCTTGGAAAGTTACACCAAGCAGTAATGAACTGAAATTAAAACTCATCCGCATGAGATAAATGTATTGAGAAAAAATGTTCAGCAATCTAACCTGCAGAATTTTCGTCAAAGTTTTATGTATGATCATGCTATATCAAAAGGGGGAGGGAGCTACAAGTTGGGCTATACTTGATCCGATTTGGGACTTAGCTCTCCCTGGATACACAGGATACGTGGGATCAGAATCTGAGGTAAAACATCTAACCTTATCCATAGTAGTTTTCTGCGGTACTCAAACAATATACCCCTCTCCTTATGTGCCTCGGGAACAGATAATAATTCAAGGAACAATGGGAGAATCAGTCAGTATAGGGTGCCGATTAGATTGTGACAGAGATAATATGACATGTAACTCACTAAAATGTAGAAAAATAACTACCCACAAGAAACCAACTAAAATTAGTGTCCGGACTTCCCCGACTGACAAACAGAGACAGGAAACAATCTGTGAAAAATTAACTGAACCAGATTGCTGGCACAATTTCATGTTAATGCAGAATGTTGAGGTGGTTTGTCTATGGGCTCGTGACACGAGATGAATATCAAGTTTCTTCAAAATAAATGTTGGGCCTACTACCACCCCTGCCATCTCAACTACCTCTGCCAGCACTCAGGCTTCTACTAAAACCACTCAAACTTTAGGGGCTAGTGCCCCAGAACCCAAAATCTATGAAACTGGTCCATACATAATAAGGAACACAGGTCAACAACAAGTGATATTCAACCCAGAATGGTCTCTTAAATGGGTTGAATTACTGATGCAAACTAATACTTCTGAAATCCAATCAACCTCTTCTCCTTTACTGAAAATGTCCTTCGAGGGGTGGACAAAATGGACACAAAAACAGACACCCTTGAAGAGCAGGAAACGGATGGATTTGACTGGAATATTGGGAACAGGACTGGGGGTCCTAAATGGGATCGATTCGGAAATATTAATGAATAAACTAGCTGCTGCAACAAGTGCTTTGACAAAGCTTCAACAACCCTTACAGTCTTCTCTACCAGCATTAGGATCTAGCCAATGGCAGGTTTCAAAAGTATTAACAAAATGGAAAACAGGAGGAACAGGACCAAAAACTAATAATAGATGCACTTGGTGTGGACCAAGATAACGTATCCCTGGCTCTTAACTGTATACAAGCACAATTGTGGGTACAGTCAGTAATGGCCTTAATTATAAGAGAGGGAAGTGAAGGGGTTTTTCCTATGGACTTTTGGAAGGTTGTCTGGGATAATACTAATGATTTGGAAAGACAGCTTCAATCTTGGTGGACCCTGGTAAATTTCACCTATGACTCTACTATGGATATAGCTACAGCCTTTGTGCTTACAATATGTAATGTCACAGTTTACACTATTCATCCCATTATTGCGTTAGGATTAAATTATGAGAGAATGGTACTTTATCCTTCTGAACATAGGTTGTGGGCTCGAAAGGTAAATGAGAAATAGAAGACTATAAATTTAGAATCTTCTGTTACGCGAGAACAACAAGGATTCATCTGTGAAGGCAATGCCATCGAAGCTAGGGACATATGTCTTGACGTGGAACAGGGCATCTGCCATTTCGAAGTTCACCCAGATATAGCCCAAAAGACTATGCTTGTGTATATTGGCCAGGGCTGAGTATGCCTACAAATTGCTTGTGTTTCTTTGTGAATAGACAATGAATACGAAATGTTAACTGCTAAGAACCATTCTAATTTTTGTGTTTGTAACTTTGTTAAAATTATTGGATGTGACTTTATGTATTTAGCACCAGTTGCATCCCACCAATTGATAAAATCCAATTACACAATGTACCACAAATTATCACCTACCCCTATTGGAATGGACCTTACGTTGGTGAAACAATTAATAAAACATCCTGACCTGACAAACGTAACAAAAGAGGTCCAGGAAAATGGAAAGAAAACTCTAGTCACTGTTCATCATGACAAGGAAGAATTACGCAGAGTTTTATTAAGGGTAGGACAAGATGCAAGCCACCATTGGTGGGATGCACTTTTCAGATGGTCACCAACTGCAACTGGTATTCTAAATACGTTGTGTCACCCCATTGTTGTTCTTTTAATATTAGTTAGTATTAGGTTTTCATTATCTATACGACTGTTTATTTGGAACTGGTGAATGTTACAACGTGTAATAGTTCTGACCTGTTTATCAAATGCATACGGTAAGACGTTAAAGAATTGGTCAAAAGAAGAATTTGCCTGAAAAGTAAAAGAATTTACTTATTTTATAGAAAAGGGGGGAATTGATGTGGACTATTGTACAAGAGGGTTAGGTGAATTGTACAGGGGGGTTGTACAAGGGGGTTAGGTAAATTGTACAGGGGGGTTGTACAAGGGGGTATCGCTTAAGTTACATAGCTTGCTGAACAGAGATGTCACTCAGCAAATACCTCTCGTGCCTCATCAGGCAGTACCAGAACATAACCTCCTAATAAGCAAAACGGTTACTTAAGTTTCAGCAAAAACCATTTGGACATAGACCAGACTCATACAGGCTCCTAAAGAGCATGCGTGAGGACCAAGGATGAAAAGTTCAGGCCCGAGGAAGACTCGTTTACTTCATCTGAAGACCCCTGCCCATGACCACCAGGAGGCACTACACATGTGCAAAGGACCTTTGAGCTCATTATAATACGAAGCAGGGATAGGACATAAATATGTATAGACGTATTATGTAACCTAATGCATATGTAGTACTTTAGAAGATAAATGTAGAGGAAACGACACTGAGGTGCGCATGCCTTTGGAGGAGTAATTCCCCATGCGTCTTCAGCTGAATAAACGCATACCTACTTTACAACTTTAACGAGTTGTGGAGTCTATTCCGACATCACTGGGATAAAACTGAGTTATAGCTAGGTTGGCAGGCAGGATTTCAGAAACCACACCAAACCTCGGCAATTCAGGTAAATACTATGGCGGATTCATTCAATTTGAATTCTTAGGCTAGCTAGGCCACAGATTAAATCTAACAAAACATGTCTCCTGGGCCCCCCAGGAGGTGCTAGAAATCACTCACAGGGGGAACAATTTTGCCTAAGTAATTTTGGGGTTTGTATTTTGCCAAGCAAGCTCACACAAGCCACTTCAGTAGAGCTGGCTCTGTCTTGAAGGCACCTAAAACTTGAATTCTGTATAAACTTCTATACCAACCCAATTGTCTTTCAACCCTGCATGTGTCCAGCTCAAGCTTACTTTCCACACCTCCAATTCCCCCCCCGAGTGTCCCTTTAGTAAGGTACAGCCTTTGCTAAACCATGTTTCTGCGGGTCCCAAACATCTGTGCATTGATATATCTGTACATTGGTACAACAAAACAAACAGCCCCTATGCAAAGGAAAAGGTTTGGAGAAGTATATTTCCATGTAAAGCACGAAGCATCAATGTTCATGCTAGGAAAGGCCACACACATCTCTTATGTGGCTGGGCAGCTACAAATAATGACAGACCCAGTGCTTTATGCCTGAATGCCACTGTTGAACTGCTTGACCCTAAAAGTTCTTGCTGTACATGAGTGAATGAGGATATCCCCTTAACGGACAAAAGGAAGGAATTGGTTCAAAAAAGTAGATTTGATATTTGCCCTTCTTTTGCCAGGGAGGGATTTCCAGTCTTTTGCTTGAGCTTAGACACACAAAATCTCCCATGCAGCCACCCTTTTCCCCTAATTGTGCAAAACAGCCGCTGAACATGCTCTCCTGTTCATCCATTGTTCTTCCAAGATGTGACAACAAACTAATTCCTGAAGGAAAAAAAAATCATACTGTCATAGGCTGGCCTGCTTGATATCTGTCCAATAGATGCATGACAATTAGCAACACTGTTCTTAGACACTTATGTATCACTACCACATGCATTTTAAAAGAAAGAGGTACAGCTTCCAAACATTCTATTCTAGAACAAGTTATTTCAGATTTTAGGTTGTTCTTTTCTTGCACTATGCCATCAAGATGAGTAGAACCAACTTCTGGCCAGCAAAGGGTTGGCAATCATTTGCTCTGCTTGTTCAGGGAGAGCAGACAACTTGTATAGATCCTTGTTACTTGGGCCCTGCTGGAGGTGCCTCCAGGTGGATGGAGAGTACCACAAGACACCACTTATTTTTCTTATCTCCCCACAGGCACAGTCTGCAGAGGCAGACTTCCTTCTCCCTGTGCAAACCAAAGAGATGCTCTTAACCCTGAGCATTTGTGGCTCAAACTCTTTATGCAGGGTATATTAAGAAAAGCTTCTTTTTCAAACCTGAACTAGAGCTTGTGTGTTGGTGTTGACTTTAATTTTGTCGAAAGCTTTCCCTTGTAGCTTTTCCTTGTAACATCAGCTGCATTATCACCACAGTCAAAAAGGCTGTAAAGGCAGTCTCCTTTCTCCCACCATGGTGTAGTGCTCCCTTGAATCTTAGTTCCAGTGATAACATTGGTTAGTTCCACTTTCATCTCCTCAGCATTTTTATAAATTTGGCTAAAATAATGGATTTAAGGTTGTTGTAGTCTAATATCTAGCATAAAACTAGTCACTCACCTGAAGAAACATTGCATAATCAATGCTATACCTGCTGATGATTGATGTCATACCTGTTTCTTGCAAATCGGACTTCCAGTTGCAGAAATGATCATTGATGTATGTGATAGACTTCATAAGCCACAAGAATGTCCTGAGTTTTCTTTCTGTTGCTAGTACTGAAAAATACAAATCTTGTGTTTTTCTCTTGCTAGTGCTGAAAAAATCTTTTGTAACAAGTTTAAAAAGGGACCACCCTGTATTTTATGCCATACTTACAGCCCTTGGTTTAATTTTAACAATGTGCATACATGTTAAATGCAAAGATATCAGGAAAGGGGTACTGTTTCCCAGTGATTACAGAAATTGGTGAAGATCTGTACTCA